CCAAGTTGAATACGCCTCTTCAAAAGACTCATATTTGAGTCATACTCATAACAATCTCCACCTTAACTCAAATTTCGGTGCAACAAATGAATCTCCTTGATTTCAAATCCATTTGCAACGAAATGAATTGGCTGAATCTCCTCAATACAGTAACCACTCCATATAAACCAAACACTCGTTCTCTGCTCGACGTTCACAATTGACACCCAAATCCAATCCCCAGGGTTTCCAATTCCACTAAGGAATTAATGTTGATCACACAGGGCCGAAGCATATCCTGTAGCAAGAACCAAACCAAATGCTTTATCAGAAAGCCCCTTGCTAAAACTGTCGCATTCAACATCCTTAGAAGTATCCCAGACATTGCTGACACCACATTACCTATACTCGATGAGTCCTACCCCAATAACTGAACACAATGTACTCACTGAAATTGGTAGCAAAGCGAATTCACCAACGCTCTCTATAGCAGTGTTCTAAATCGTCTCAGAGCCCAACACAAGAGGTACTATACCAAACTTAACTTCCACCACGGTACTAAACTTGTCCAAATGTCTCATCTTAACTCATTCTGCACTGCCTTGCAAAATGTACATCTCCTTCGTCCCTCCAGTACAACTCGAACTTCCTTTCGGACCTTCAAGACTCCACCCCATCCAGATAATCTATACCCTTTTGCATCCAGGGTACTTAGCGAAATGAGATTCCTTTTCAGGCCAGGAACATGTCGAACCTAATCAATTGTTCTAAATGTTCCATCCCATAGTGTCAACCTGATCGACCGATCCCAACAATACGGCAAGATTGGTTGTTTCCCATTACAACTCCACTTTGCTGGACAGTCTCACATGTTTGAAATAAATTCCTATCGGAACACATATTGTATGAACATTTTGAATCAAGAATCTACTCATCATCAGGCCTAGATTCCACATCAGATATCACGGTCAACATCACCTGAACAATTCTCAACTACATTGGTTTTGTTTGAATTCAAAGATTGCACCCCACGATTTACAGCTAAATCACCTTTAGCCTGTAACATATCGCAATCCTTCTGAATATGTCCCATTCTTTTGCAGTAGTAACAGGTCACATTACTAAATTTAACTCTCGATCTGCCTCTTCGTCGATCACCTTGAGATATAAGAGCTTCCCAATCCCCTGATGTAGCTCCAATCAAATGCTTCATTTTCTCTTTTGAGTGCAAAGTATCATAGACATCTTCTATAGTCAAAATATCTCGACCATACAAGATAGTATCCCAAAACGATGCATAAGATCCAGGTAGCGAACACAATAGGATCAAGGCAATATCCTCTTCATTGTACTTAACCTCCAACCTCTCCAGATCTGCAACCATTTCCTTGAACACGACAACATGGTCTTCCAACAGCTCTCATTCCGCCATGCGATGTGAATACAACTTTTACTTGAGAGCCAGTTTACTTGTAAGACTCTTAGTCATACACAACTGCTCTGACTTCAATCACGAAGCAACCGTCATTTTCTCCTTCAAGACATTCTACAGAATATTGTTGGACAGATGAAGATGAATCAATGAAACAACATTCCGATCCTTTTGTTGTCAACTAGTTGACATCCTCTCAATACCCAGTAACACATCATCCAAATCTAATTACGCCAAAATAGTCCTCATCTTTGCTTGCCACAAAGAAAATTTTGTATTGCGATCTAGTTGCGGAATATCATACTTTAACCCAGTCATCCCAAAAAATCTCAACCAATCTACGAAAGGAACCAAGCTCTGATACTACTTGTTGGGTGTGAAAGCTCCAATAACATACGTTGATTCCAAACTGAATTATAAAGAAGTAGATTTAATGATAATATTGAAGTATACTAGATCATATCACAAAAACACAAGATTGAATTTGTAAAGAAAGAACACAAATGGTAAACGCAGAGGAATGATGTTTATTAATTCAACAGTATGGAGAATATAAGATAGACTATCAATATTGCTTCTATGTTACTCTTTATAATCTGACCAGAGGGGCCTCGTATTTATAGGACAACCCTAGAAGAGTCGTAAAATGCAAGAAAATATATTACAATTAGGAGACCCAATTTCATCGGGATTTTGTTTCCTTATTCAACTTAGTTTCCTTAAACCCTAGGTTAATATTCTTCTAGTCCAAGTCGAATATGCCTCTTCAAAATACTCTTATTTGAGTCATACTCCTGACACATTGAAGCCTGAATTCTTAGTTATAAAAAATAAAAGAGAGAGAGAGAGAGAGCAATGGTAGTAATCAATTAAAATGCCTGAGATTAGAGATAAATAAATCAATGCAGGGACTTATCCATGTGAACACGAAGAGATGAAGGAATCTCTCAACTTTGCAAATCAGAAGGCAAATGAGGGATAGAAGCTACTAGGATGCAAAGTTCGCTAAGAGCGCGACTGCGAACCAAAAAAGGTGGTTCATTTATGCCAAATCACCTTAATTAGAACATAAAAATCCAAATAAAAAAATCAATGAATTAACATTCATAGTATTTACCATAAGTTCGAGGAATAACAACCAAAAGATTGGGATCAGGTCAGTAACCTCGAACTAAGAAAAAACGATCTTTCCAATTATGCACCTGGGTGTGAGTGATTATCAGTTCTAGGCAGGTCTTGGAGATGTAGGGAGAAAATGAATAGTACCTCATTTGAGGGTTCGTTGTGTTTCCCAATAGCATGGGACTGTACATTGAATGGAATATATCTAGCAATAATTCTCCTTGTAGACCTCCAGATCCCCATTAAAAAAAAAAAAAAAAAAAAAAAAAAAAAAAAGAAAACAGAGAGAGAGAGAAAGAAGCCAGTTGGGCCTACCCATTCGAAGCAAGTTGGGAATGAGCCCCATAATCATTGAATGTTTATAATAGCTATACGGCCTGGGGGTTAGCGAGCTGTCATTTGAAATTGTCTAGGAACTAATAGCTTTATAACATTAGGAGCATTAAAATGGATCCTAATGTCAGTTAGGCCATATTCAAAAATATTGCTTAAAATCCTTGATGGCTCAAAACCATTTCGACCACTCACGTTAAGGTCAATTGCCATATTAAAAGGTTTGCCTTTCTTGTTACATATCCCAATCTAAGTCGAAAACTTCCTGCTTTACCAAAAATTTCTAGTTTAATGCAAATACCACAATGCATAACAACCTTATAGAGAAGCACATCAATATACAATAGAACTAGAACTTTCAGAATCATAATCGCCAGATAAACTCTGAGAATTGGTTTGGGAAGACATTTTAGGAAAAATATTGGACAATGCTGAGGAAACAATATGCACTTAGACAAAAAAATTTCTTGAAAGAAATAAGGTAGAAAAGTAAAGGATGCTCATAGGAATAATGATATATTTATAGATTCGGACGGGAGTTATAAGTCATTAAAACATGATGATATTAATCATAACCGTTGAAAAATAAACGAGCGATTGATCAAATCACTAGGTAAACTAGCCAAAATCACATGCACTCCTCATGTGCAAGGAAAGTTATGGGCCACTAGCTTGGAAAAATGCAAATAGAAATTCTATCCTATAAAAAATTGATAATGGTCGACAGTACTTTTCTCATGACTTCACGGATATGTTGGATGGGTAAGTTTAGGGAAAAGATTTCAAATAGGCTCATAAAGCAAAACATAATACAATTAAAGTCATAGATTTAATACAAATAATAAAATTGAACTTGGTCGACTATTTGTTGAACCTCGGAATACAATATGTGAACCCCAAGGAGTGTGACACGCAGGCGATGAAAATAAAAAACATAAGACTCGTACAAAGCCAACAATCCATTTTTGTAATTCAGGTTGGCTATAGGCTATCAATGAAAAGTACATAGGCTAATGAGTAAAGCATAATTCTTAACCAAATCAATTATTATAAGAGCTAATAAGGAGCCGCCATATGTCATTCTCTTAAAATGATCCAATTACCCAAGGCCGAGGAGGAAAATCTATAAATACCCACTCATTTGAAGATAGAGACATAAAATTTAAATACCTTCCTCTCAAATAGCTATTTCTCTTCTTACTCTAGTTTGAACATCCGAACTAGTGAGTTTAGAAAGTGAAAATCATAGTGAGGTGAGTAGATTTTGTTGATAAAATTTTTATCGTCAACAATCTCTAAATATTAACTTAGATAGTGTCAAAATGTAGTGAAAATGTGTCTTCATCATTTTTGTGATCATACAAGGTGAAATTTATTGAAACAAACTTGAAATTAACTAAAGCGGGAAGCTTCCGTTTAAAATGAGTAAGTGCCATTCGTGAACATGTGTAATACCTGGATTTCACATTATATACTTGATCAATATAGTTTGTGTATCATGTGCTACTTTACATTGCCATTTACAAATGCATTGATAATTCATAATTGCTTTCTCCTTAATTGGTTCATTCAATCATTAAGGTTTTAATATCTAATGTGGTGTTATTCTTCAACCTTCCCAACCTAGGTGGTAGGTTTTACATTGAACTATGGAGGAAAATCAGGTCGATAGAGGTGTTGGATATTGACTGGTTAATTATTGTAATCTTGAAAGCATCGAAATTATTACAGTTAAACCTTGATAAAGTAATACCCTCGGGACTGGAAAAAAATATTCATTTAGCGAGGTTATTTATTTATCGATAAATGAATAAATTATTCATTTATCAATAAATAAATATTTATTATTTTAGAGAGAGCTTTTCAATATAAAATATGTACATTGTATGTGGTAAGAAAAATCAAAAGACACTAATCAAAGTATTATTTGAATCTAGGGAAGTTCAAAAGTTTTAGAGAAACTTAATGTCTCTAAAAACTAAGTTCACGTACATAGCAAATGAAAATGTTTAGTCTTTACTCATAAAAGCTAAATGTTTGGAAGACATATTCCAAGCACATACAATATTTTGTTTCCCCTCCAATGTCTTCTCATCATTTGAAAGGAGTAAAAAAATCAACTTTAATCGATAAAATGAGGAGTGCAATATGTGAGCATAAGAAAGAGAATCCAACTATTAGCCAAAAAGATATGCAAGCATGGGTGCAACAAAAGTTTGATTTGACTATTAGTCAATCAACAATATCGAACACTCTCAAAAGGGCGTCGGAATATTTGTCAAATGAAATGAAAAATAGCGATGTTAAAAGGCACAAATCGAAAAAATACCTTGATTTAGAGAAAGTTTTGTATGAGCGGTTTCTTGAAAAGCAAGATAAAGTGAACATGTCTGGAGAAATTATCCAAGGAAAAGCAAAAGAGCTTTTACAAAAAATGTATGGTGAAACTAATCCAGAATTTAGCTTTTCTAGTGGATGGTTAGAATGTTTCAAGGCAAGATATAGAATCAAATCTTACCGACATTTTGGTGAAAGTGGTTCAGTTATCATGGAGAACATTGAAAATGCTTTACCTGGAATACGATCAAAACTAGTCCAGTTTCAATTGAAGGATATTTACAATATGAATGAAACTGAATTATTTTACCGATTGGAAGCTGATCATTCACTTGCTACCAAGCAGCTCGAAGGACGCAAAAAAGATAAGGAGAGAATTACTGTTGTTTGTTGCAATGGTGATGGATCTGACAAAGTACCACTTTGGGTTATTGGTAAGTATGCAAATCCCAGATGCTTTAAAAATGTGAACATGAACAATCTTAATTGCAAGTATTGATCCAACAAGAAAGTTTGGATGACTGGCTTACTTTTTCAAGATTTTGTTAGTTGGTTTGATAAGAGAATAAATGGCAAGAAGGTTCTCTTAATAGTAGACAATTGCCCAACTCATCCAAAGGTAGTTGAAGGCTTGAGAAATGTAGAGTTATTTTTCTTACCTCCTAACACAACGTCTAAGATTCAACAATGTAATGCTGGGATTATTCGAGTATTCAAAGCTCATTATCGTCGTCGTTTTTATTCTAGCATCTTACAAGGCCTTGAGGTTGAAGCACCAAATCCTGAAAAAATTAATATTTTGAATGCTATTAATTTTGCTAACATGACTTGTGTTAGGAAAATGTGTAATTGACAATCTGTGACCAAATGACCTATTTGTCAAAATTGTAAAGTCAAGGACTAAATTGTACAGGTCAAATAGTTCAGGGACTAAAGTTGCAATTTTGTAAAGGTCATAGCATAGGTCTAGGGTAAAGTGGGATGCTTTGAAGATGCAAACGGCGCGTTGATGTCGCTTTTTTCACCCTTAACCACATCCATTCATTCCCAAATTTTTACCACAATTATTTATAACATGTATATGAATGTAAAAATGTCCTAAAATGTCCAAAAGTGAAGTGTTTACAGCTTCAAAGTTAGTCCTTTTTACAGAATACCGAATCAGGAATTTCAGTACGGTTGTTTTGAGTTTCACTTGGATTAACATTCCACAAATCAGATTTTAACCCATTAAAAATAATTTATATAATTATATAATTATTATGTAAAAATATTCATATTGATAATAAATTTCAAAATCAGTCCCTTTTACGGAACACCGAATCAGGAATTTCACTATGGCTGTTTTGAGTTTCACTTGGATTAACATTCCACGACTCAGATTCAAGTTATGTATGAGTGATTTTTTCAAAGGCAAGATAAAGTGAACATGTCTGGAGAAATTATCAAAGGAAAAGCAAAAGAGCTTTTGCAAAAAATGTATGGTGAAACTAATCTAGAATTCAGCTTTTCTAGTGGATGGTTAGAACGTTTCAAGGTAAGATATGGAATCAAATCTTACCGACATTTTGGTGAAAGTGGTTCAGTTATCATGGAGAACATTGAAAATGCTTTACCTGGAATACGATCAAAACTAGTCCAGTTTCAATTGAAGGATATTTACAATATGAATGAAACTGAATTATTTTACCGATTGGAAGCTGATCATTCACTTGCTACCAAGCAGCTCGAAGGACGCAAAAAAGATAAGGAGAGAATTACTGTTGTTTGTTGCAATGGTGATGGATCTGACAAAGTACCACTTTGGGTTATTGGTAAGTATGCAAATCCCAGATGCTTTAAAAATGTGAACATGAACAATCTTAATTGCAAGTATTGATCCAACAAGAAAGTTTGGATGACTGGCTTACTTTTTCAAGATTTTGTTAGTTGGTTTGATAAGAGAATAAATGGCAAGAAGGTTCTCTTAATAGTAGACAATTGCCCAACTCATCCAAAGGTAGTTGAAGGCTTGAGAAATGTAGAGTTATTTTTCTTACCTCCTAACACAACGTCTAAGATTCAACAATGTAATGCTGGGATTATTCGAGTATTCAAAGCTCATTATCGTCGTCGTTTTTATTCTAGCATCTTACAAGGCCTTGAGGTTGAAGCACCAAATCCTGAAAAAATTAATATTTTGAATGCTATTAATTTTGCTAACATGACTTGTGTTAGGAAAATGTGTAATTGACAATCTGTGACCAAATGACCTATTTGTCAAAATTGTAAAGTCAAGGACTAAATTGTACAGGTCAAATAGTTCAGGGACTAAAGTTGCAATTTTGTAAAGGTCATAGCATAGGTCTAGGGTAAAGTGGGATGCTTTGAAGATGCAAACGGCGCGTTGATGTCGCTTTTTTCACCCTTAACCACATCCATTCATTCCCAAATTTTTACCACAATTATTTATAACATGTATATGAATGTAAAAATGTCCTAAAATGTCCAAAAGTGAAGTGTTTACAGCTTCAAAGTTAGTCCTTTTTACAGAATACCGAATCAGGAATTTCAGTACGGTTGTTTTGAGTTTCACTTGGATTAACATTCCACAAATCAGATTTTAACCCATTAAAAATAATTTATATAATTATATAATTATTATGTAAAAATATTCATATTGATAATAAATTTCAAAATCAGTCCCTTTTACGGAACACCGAATCAGGAATTTCACTATGGCTGTTTTGAGTTTCACTTGGATTAACATTCCACGACTCAGATTCTAACACATTAAAAATCATTTCTATACTTATAACTTTATATAAAAATATTTATATTGATGAATATAAGTTATACTCAAGTATTACCCAAAGCCAAAGGTTAAATAGGTAGAATCTGTTGAGTAGTAAACTTGAATTTTGGACTAAATAATATGGGCTTAAGGATTTTGCTTATAGGCCCAAATCAATTAAAAGGCCCAACATGCATAGCATTTCTAGAAGCATTATCTAGAAAAATCTATATAAATATCTACTAGAAATATCTATATAAATATCTAAGTAAGATATGTAGTTTTATAAAGAATATCTAGAGAATTCTAGGAAAATATCTTGATATGTGGTCTAGGTGTCTTTAGAAAATGTGTGGACTAGAATCTTCTTGTAAACACTATATAAAGGGGTAGTGCCCTCCATTTTGAAACAAGCCAAAAAGTGTGTAAAGTCTTGAATTTGAGAAATACAAGTTTCCTTTTTTCACTTCCTTCTTCCTATTAGTGTTGTCCTCTTAAAAGCCTTAGCCAATCCAAGTTAGTAAACCCATCTTTCCTCCAACAGAATCCAGAAACTATATAATTTCTTTCCTTGGTGGGTTCACTCAATTTTCTTCAACTAATTATCCCTCCTTTTGCCACAATAACACTCCCAGCAACACCCAGTATAATATCAAGCAAGTTCAGAGGTTCAAGAGATTGTAAGACGTTCATAAATAATAAATCAAACTTTAAAACAGTGAGCTGAACTCATTTGTACAGAAATTTAATTCAGCTCCTTATTTTCTGCTTCTCTAAGTTTCCTTTCCTTTCTCGTTCACTTGAGATAACTTGGGGTTAACTTAGAGAAGCAAATATCTTATTTAAGAGGTATATATAAAGTCTTAAAGGATTGGGTCGTGATATTTGCTTAATGACTAAGAAAGTTGCTGTTTAAAGACAAGTGTTACAGGCATGAGGTTTACTAAGCATGAGGTGGCTTCTTGTAGTAAAAATCTTATTTTGCACTTATTCTTAGAGGAGTTGTAAGTGACTTAAGAGGTGTATATGAAGCCTTAAAGAAGTTGGGGACATGGGAAAGGCTTAGGAGTGAAGGAATTTGCTATTAAGAAGTCAACTTATGGTAAAATCTGATTTTAAACTTATCCTTGCAGGCCAAAATCAATTATATTTGATCTATTTTAATGTGTTTATAACCTAATTTAATTTCCACAAGATCCTAAAATAATTTATAGCATTAATTTTTTAACCGTTCATTGGATTCGTTAATTATGTGCTTGCTACCCGATTATTGGCCGACTACAAAAATTTGTACTTCAACATTTATGACTTCATTTGAATCTTATAATTTTCTAATATGATCTAGTCACTTCATGCCTAATGTCCTGTACATGTTAATTACTTATCTAGTTTTCCAGAGGACCTTTGATCAAATTGAATTAAATTCATGTAATCTTATCAATAATAATTTTGATGCTTTCAATGTAAAATTCACCACCTAGGTCGAAAGATTGAAAATTAACATTGTATAAGATATTAAAACCTGAATGATCGAATGTACTATAAAAAGAGAAAGCAATTATGAACTATCGATGCAAATACAAATGGTAATGTAAAATAGCATCTAATGCATGAATTATATTCTCCAAGTATATAATGTGAAGTTTGGTTCTTACATCCTCCACTCTTTATAAAAGTTTCATTCTCGAAATTTATTTACCTGAAAAAATTCAGAATACTTAACCTGTATTTCATCTTCCTTTTCCTAGTAGTTTCATTTGTTGACTGATTCCACCACAACACGGGTTCTCGTTCCACTCCAAAACTCATTTATTTTTACAAAACATTGCCCAATATTTATAAATTAGAAGGGCCAAAATGTTACGTTTCACTATCTCATTTCAATAAATATAATAGAATTTGTGTTAACTTGATTTTCGATGGCGAAAGAACAAAAGTTTCCAGTACGATAGTGATAATTACTTGTGTGTCAAAGTATTGATGTATGAGTAACAAATTTGCAACAACTATAGTGTCTAAATGTAGTGAGAATGTGATTTCATTTGTGAAATTAGTAAAAATTTGCTATTAAAAAGGGCAAGTATCATTTTTGTGCTCCAAACATATTCGGTTATATTTTAAAACATTCAAGTAATTAAAACACGCTAAGACATTGCATTTTACTATCTTTTATTGACAAATTTGATAGATTTTTAGTTAACTTCGTTGCGAGTTTAAGGATACTAACTACCATGTTGCTGTATTGACCCTTAAGTAACATCATGGATGAGTATCATAGAGGGGGGTACTTTTAAGTTTGGCTTTGTCAAACCAACCATTTTCCATTTCAACCAAAAAAATCTAACATTCACCACAATGGCCATTTCTTGTGTAAAAGACAAAAAGGCCCTTAAATGAGTTATATAATTATAAAAATAGAAATATGGTAAAAAGACAAAAATATCCTTAAGTTACAAATAAAAATCCAAACACTTCTCAATTGAAATTTGAAAACGAAGTCAGTCTTTTCATCACTTTACTCTAACACGATAAAAACTCTTTCATTTTTCATCCACATCAACCTAAAAATTTCATAAACTTATCAGTTATCAACTTTAATAGAAAAATTTCGTTAAATTTCAGCACTTCAATTCGGTAAGTATCTCTTCCTAGTATTTAATTTTATTTTTATTGAAGTTGTATATTTTTTTTAAATGATAGAAAAAATAATATTAAAGCCAAAGTTCAGGCCGGCACCGATCTGACGCCGGTACTCGTTCGATAACGGACGAATGGACGGTCCGGAGTAAATGGACGGTCCGGTTTGCAGACTCCCCCGCCCCTCGATTTTGATAATTTTATTTCTGATAATTTGTTCTGATATTTTTAATTCGTAATGCAGATATGGCAAAAGCATGTGTCCCAATCTGTTATTTCGACGAATTTCAAAGGAAAGAAAATAGTCAATGGGAATGGAAATGGACGAGTGAAGGAGAAGGGGTTGCTGCTATTTCGATAACAAAAAATACTTCGTTTACAGAAATGTACAGTGAAATACAAAACATGCTTAATGTCGATTCCTCTCAGTACGATATGGAATT